ACCATACTTGTGCTCTCCTCCCTTTATAAATGTTTTTAATGAGACTTTAAAAAGGCTTATGCTGTCTTTTCAATGAAAACTGAAAGTGCATTATTATGGAAGAATGTATTTGCAGGTAGACACATTAAGAAAATGTTCTCACATGTGTGTAAACACATATTAACTTTTGACCTTGAGAACTGAATTCCTTCAAGAAAAATAATGCATAAAATAATGTGTATAAAATTAAATAAAGGACTTTATTTACATACCACATAAAGTAGCAAACTGTTGAATGAGTTTGAAGATATCAATTATTTTTTCTGCATGTGGTTTTAGCTTTAGAAAGAAACAAGTAATAGCAAGAAAATTAATGTATATTTTAATGTACATTATAATTCCCTTTAAACCTTAATAGTAGTTAACCCTCCTTACTGTTTTAACATATATTTGATTTAACAAATTGATCAGCATAACATGTTTTAATTTAGCTGATCAAGTTGTACTATATTTAAATCATCAACAGTGTATCTTGAATATGTTTTATGAGGTCAGTTCATAATACAAAAAGTTACATAGAACTTTACATCTTAATTTTCTTTGTCAATTTAAATGCAATGTATAAGAAGTTTATTTTGTTATTGTGAAAAAACTAAATGTAAAGGAAATCACCTACTTCCATGCAGGTGTGTAATCTTGAAAAGGAAAAATGCTTCCATGTTGAAGCCAGATTTTCTGTAGTAAAACTTTTAAACATTATTTTAAAAGAAATATGTATATAAATATATAAATATATTCTTTGGAATGATACTAAAGTCTCTGGTCTAGGACCGTACCTTGTATAAGGTATGAGAGACCGTGACAGTGTCTAAAGATGGAATGAATGATGATGCCTTTGATTTAAGTGACCCATGTAATTGACTCCAGGTGCTGTGTACATTGAGAGCTCCATCTTTCCAAATACATTTCCCTAGTGTGCTGAGAACATGCTCACATTTGTATGATTTTTATACTTTTGCCAAATATACTGAGAATTGGATGAATTGTCTTTGTATCTTGAAAAGGAATCAGCTACAACTTCGCTAGGCATGTGAAATACACTGTCATTGTTCTTATAATCTAACTTAAAGAAATGAAAGAAATACTATCTAGGAGGGTGCTGAGGCCACTGCATTAATTTTGTGTGTTTGTTTAACAGAATTCTGTTGTCAGAAGAAAGCTAAGGAATAAATTAACATGTTATTCTGGAACTTAAGGCTCTAAAATTAGTATAAAGTGCACCTAGATTGTTAATCCCCACTAACTAGGCTTCAAGCTTAACTCGAACTTAAAGATTTTGAGAATCATTTACATTTGTCATTTGCTAGAAATGGCTTTTAGTTCTGTTTGATTATATTTTCTACACAAACTCAGTTTTTAACAGGATAGCCTATTAAATAACTTAATATTTCATTTAACTCACTTGATAAAGTTGTATTATAAAGTATTTGATTTTCCCCCCCATTCATTTTTGAGTCTTATAATTCTGTCATATGCATTTATCAGTTGTGACGTCATTGTATTTAAATTTGACTTGGCAACATTAATATGTCCTAAAATTCAACACAGAGAAGCATGGCAATACGTTCTTTGACTAGAGGATGGTTTAATAAACATTCTTTGAATCTGTGTAATAAAGCTTGGAAGCAGGGAAGAAAAAATCTTATTTCTTCCCTTTTTTGTGTTTGTCTATAGGAACTGGTTCAGGTTTTTTTGCTCTTTGCTTTAAATGTAAATTGATAATCTTCTATACAAAGTAAATAGAAGCATTATTGGGTGCCTTTGTTTGTAAACCAAAAAGTAATAAATGAATCCCTATATTTCCATTATAGTATTTATTGTATTTTTACAATAATTATCCTGAAAGTTACCAGTGAGATAATGTGCTTAGGCTTACAGGAAGCAGTCCTCACTTCTTATCTCTTTCCAAGTGTACTCATTACTCCTTGTATCCTAATTTTATTTAATCTCAAGTTTCTTAGGTAGCATTTTAGGGGAAGCAGATATTCAGGATGAACACTTTTTGTTAAAGTATTATTTTTATGTATTTGCTGGGGTGAGGTGCTCAGGCCACAAAAAACAGTGTGAGGAGATTGCCAGGGTGTCATTAGGCTCCAGCTGCTCTCCTCCACATTGAATTTCATTTTAATTTTTAGGTACACGTATAGTAATTTATCTGTTGAGTGAATATAGGGTCATTCGGTAATGATCTAGAAGGACTATGTAAAGGAGAAAGCATCAGGCTGGGGTTCAGGTGAGTGTAAATGGCCAAGCATGACTCCAAGTCCTGACATAAAACCATTAGCACTTGTGCTATTTTGAGATAAACTCTCTTTTTGCATGAGAAACTAGAGACAGGAATATATGCTGCATAACTTGATATAGAAATGAGTTAATTAAATTAGTAGTTGCTAATAAAAGAAATATGAAATATTTTCTTATTGAATAATATTTTTATCTTTAAGCATTTTCTAGTCTTAGAATGAATTTGTCTTTTTTTAAAAAATACGTCTCTGCTATCCTTAATATTCCTAAACAGATTATCTTTGTCAATTGAGCATAGTTGTACAAAATTGTTAAATAAATCCTTTGATTTTTCTTAATTAAAGAAAAATTTGAGTAACATTAGTTAAGTTTGCTGTGCTCTTTTGCAAGTTGATGGCTCTCAAATACATTTATATGGAAAAACGAAGTGATAAGTATGAGTTTAGTATCTTTACTATAGGCTTGAACTCAAACAAATAAGGCTATAAATGTCTCCTTTTTTTGTCACAATCACAGATAATACCTGTAATTTTATACAAGAGAAGAGAGGGGTGGAGATTTACCCTCTCCCCTCCCCTCCCCTGCTTTTTTTGGTTTTAATTTTGAACAAATGCCTGAACCTAAACATACAGATGAATGTAGATTTATTGAAAATAGTTGTCCCAGTATATTGTATATTTCATCAGTACTTAAGTGTTTGACATTTAATACCACATTTTCTGCTTTCATGGGTTCCTGTCATTTCTCCCCACTTGATTGTTGGTTTCTTGAGCGGAAACCCAGCCTTATACTTGTACCTTGTACATTGTAGAAATAACACTAGTGAACATTGGTTTAGCACTTACTTTGTGCCAGGCACGGCCTAAGCATTTTCTGTGTATTGACTCATTTATGCCTTACAGCAGCCCTTTGTGGAGGGCACTTCTATTACCCGTGTTTTATAGGTTGGTAGTTGGCAAATGACACCAATAACTTACCCCATGCCACACTGCTAATGGCAGAGTCAAGATTTGAACTCAGTCTAGCTCCAAAGCTTACTACGCTTGTTTGCCACACTGTATTTATTGCTTTTCACTTGGAAGCACAAATGTTTCTGGCCCATTCAGAGAGGTTCTCTGACATGCTGTTGTGCTAAAATGTCTTTATTTGGCTCCTTCATTTCTAAAACCCAGCATCCATCCATTCAACAAATACTGAGTCCCTGCTGTGGGTTAGGCACGATGTTTTATATTGCAGTGATCTGTTTGTCTGTGTCACACCACACTAAGCCTCAGTGGTCCGGACCTGAATATGAAACACTGCCCACCCACTAGGATTTTGACTTAACATGGGTAAGGAAACATAATTTTAATGAAATATATAAAGAAAAGGACAAAATACTGAAAGCAGAAGGAGTGATTTACTGGTTTGTGTTAAGGGAAGGGCTCATACAAACATGACATTTGAGTTGTGGTTTTAAGTCTGATGGGGAGAAACAACGGGATAGGGAAGTGTTCCAGGCATGGAGCATGTGTAAAGGCGGAGAGGTGTGGGCAGCAGTGAGGAAGGAAACTTCGGAAACTTCGGTGCTAAAAGCCAAAGTGACTAAGGAAAGACAAAGCATGGGGGGCAGTTGGGCATCTGCGTGCTCAGTGCACTATAGGC